CAGGGGTTGAGCGGAACGGGGGACAGACGGCAGCAGCAGACGCGGAGGACGCGGAGTGGAGGGCACGCCGAGGCTGGATGGCAAGGCCAGGCGGAGGGATGGAGTCACCAGCCTCGGCATCAAACCCTTTACTGGGGGGAGGAGCTAGAGAGGGGAGGGAGCAGAAGGCTGAGGGGGTAATAAAAGCGGGAGACGAGTTGGCCGATGAGGAAGGAACTGGGCTGGCTACAGCTGTGAAAGAGAGAGAGGGGGGAAACGGAGGGGAGAGAGAGAAACCGGGAGCTGGACAGGGGAACAGGTGAATGCCAGACTCCAAAAGGGGGTAAGAGGGTGACGCAACCCTCTGCACACCCCGGTATCTGAGGCCACAGCTCTCCGGTGGAAGGACCCTCCTCGGTTTAAGCTCTTCCTCTCTACAGTTTCTTCCCCCCTTTTTCTCCGGTCATACAGGGATGTCCTACCGTAGGTAACTCTCTGGCTATGGGTCCCTCGTTGCTGGGGCAGCACGGTGACCAGCAACTCACCCTCACAGGAGCGGCGCAGGCGTGACAAAAGTAGTAGCAGCTAATAGCAGCAATCAACTGCATCGATGGTCTCCTTTGCAAGATTATACTAGTCCCAAGTCTTCTCATTCCACATGCTAGTGTACGGGAGGTTCTTGTTGGCTCCCTGCGATTCTCCCCTGGGGCTTCTCTTGCACCTAACCTATCCTCATAGGTAGTGGTCACCTCCGTCTTCTTAGGTGCCCAAATCTTATAGTTGTCGTCATGGGGAGATCGCCACCTCGAAGCTCCATCGGCTTGGAAGAGATGTCGCAAGCCCCACGGTTATCCAGTGACCCCAAGCCTGGACCTGACTGGGGACGCTGCAGTCAGGGTAACCTCCAGTAGGGGGCCATACACCTGGCACCAGCATTACAATCCCAGGAACAAAGTCCCACCAGCTCAAAGCAGACGTCGCAGTTAGAGGGGCAAGTGGTGCAGCTTTAGATGACACAGCCCACCAGCTGGGACGAGACGCAGCTTCAGTTGACACAGCCCACCAGCTGGGGCTGGACGCCACAGGCACCTCAGCCATCCAGCAGGGCCCACCCCAGTGGAATTCAACCCGGGCAAAGGAGCCCCCAGAAGGGCATAAGACACCCCCCCAAGTCCTCCTACTGCCGGCCGTCCTCCTGGGGCAAACAGCGCACACACAGCCGGTCAGATAGCAGCAGTCCTTTCCCAATCCCGGCACCATAATGGCCAAAATTTTACTTTATTTATCATACTTTTCTCCCCAAGGGGAACCCAATGCAGCTTGTAAGATCATTCTTTCTGTCTTTATCTACAGAACAACCCTGCCCGACATTCCTTTAATGGATCTGTTCGATTAGAAATAATTCAGAAATAGTAGAAATAATTGAATGGCACCAAATATTGTGCAATGAGTCGTTTCACAGCAGTGAGAAATAACAGAATAATATATACTTTGAGTAATATATCCAATTGGATCAAGAAAAATAGTTCATAAAAATGAAGACCATACCATTTTACAATTAATTATTGCTGCATCGTCCATTATTTCCTAGGTAATGAGAAAATCCTATCATATACACAAAAAGTTGGATTTTTCTTGAGAAAGTTTCCAGCAACAAATATAATTAGTGTTATAGATTTACTAATATGAAGATAAGATACCTGTGATAATTTGAAAATGTTTTCCTTCAAATTATCATTTTGGAAAGATACATGTATATGATTGGTCAGAAATCCCTGTGACACTCCACAGTTCCTGACATTCAGAGTGCCAGGTCCAGGTTTGCACTGAGGCAGTGAACAGGTGAATGCCAGACTCCAAAAGGGGGTAAGAGGGTGACGCACCCTTATCCTTAAGCTGTTTATGGCTTCAAATGCTTTTGATATTTATGTGGTTTGAAAATTCACCCAGTTATGTGCTCTTTTCATTTAAAGAATACATTTATGCATTTGTATACAAACATAATTGTAGGAAATATTTCAAATTAAAAATATCCAGTGTTCTGGTGGTTAAATTATTTGCTTGTTAAATTTTATCAATGCATTTATGGAGTATATAAAATAAGCTATCTATGTAGTTTAAATTATAACATATTTACAGAAAAAGTTCATCTGTATAATCTTATGATTACAGCAGTTTTACCTAAATGCATCCATGAGAGAAACTGCTGAAGGAATTTCCTAGCCATTTAATATAGTTTGAACTGTGTGAGTAGAAAAGGATTAATATAAGAATATAAGAATCCAGAAACCTTCCTCTTAGAAAAGCTTTTGATTTGTTTAGAATAAACAAGACACAAAAATGTTGGGGTGGGAGTAAAATGTAATCAGCCTTAATATGCAATAGCATACATATCTTTCAAATAGGCTGCATCCTCTTTTCCTCTGCAATGTCTTAGAATCATCAACATGATTTTTTTCATTATTCAGATTTTCAGATAAAACTGAATCATGGTTAGCTTAAATCTATCCAACTCCTCTTCTTGCTTACTCCTTGACATCCAGGTACAGAACCTCATTATTAGTTATAAGACTTCATTCAAAACAACCTGACCTCTATCTTTTAAGGGGTTAATGTGGTGGTGAAATGTAATGAGATGACATTTTGGAATTGCTACCAGAAATTGTGACTGATGTGTGAAATTTAAAAATGAAAAAAACCCCACCCTTATTGTAGAAAAGGAATGGCAATCATTCTACAGACAATCTTATCTCTTTTTCTTTCACTAGATGTACAGGGACAAAAATTCTCTACAGATAACTCATCTTGGGCAAAATATAAAATAACAATAATGTGTGTTTTGTCTTTATTTAATGATGAAATTTAGGAACCTCTGGAAATTTAAGAATTAAAAAGAAGCATTTCAAAACCACCTATATTATTTATCTGTTGACATAAATCCAACTCGTTTGCATAACTTTTAAGAGAATGGAAGAACCAGCCCAATAAACAGAAAATTATTGTGTCAGTTATTTATATTTATTCAGATTTCAGCCAAAGCTTTAAAGACAACTTTTGTTTATATTATGGATAAATTTGTATGAATTTAAAGGGTGCAGGTTGTTGATAGTATGATGTAAATGCGAAAGAGATTTCAATTAACTTACCTAAACACAACATAGTTTACTATAGCCAATTCTTGTTTGGGAATATATGTGTGTGTGTGTGTGTGTGTGTGTGTGTGTGTATAAATATATAAATATATATATATATAGTCCCCTCACCATAAAATCAATGTCCAGTCTCAACCCCTGGACCTAGAAACATGAAATTCGGGGACAGCACTCCTACCATGACGTAGATGCTCACTAAGAAGGGATTTTTAGAAATTCAACTCCTAAGGGGGTCAAAAGGGGTAAAATGTGCTCCCCCATTGCTTCCTATGTGACTGCCAGGCTGCTGCCTCCTTGCACCCCCCACTCTCTGATTGGTCAGCTGCAGAGCTCAGTATTCTGAAGTTTAAAAAAACCCCAACAGTTACAGGAGATTGCAGAGAGCTAATGACAGTTGAAGAAATCAGGAATGGCCAGTCACCTGTGAGGTGCAGCAATACTGCTGGCCCAGCCTCCCCCTGGCTTCAAACATGCCCCCCACCTCCTACACCTGTCAGGTGCAGCAGCGGGTGCAGGGTGCTTAAAGCCATCAGGGAGCCTGTCCCAGCAGTAATACCTTAGTAATCCTGCCAGCCCAACCTCCACAGTAGCTTCTAATACTCCTCCCCCTCCTACACAGGACAGGCAGCTGCGTGTCAAGTGTAGGAGAGGTGGTGGGATGCTTACAGCTGTCGGGGAGGTTTGCACAGCAGGTCTGCCTTTGGGCTGCTGCTGGCCAAGCCTCCCTGATGCCTTACTCCCACCCACAATGGAAATATACCCCAAATTTGTAGAAAACTGGTTTCCTGTATTAGGTTATTTAACTTCTCACAATGTGGGTTCTAGAAAATTGGTTCATATGAACTTGCTTAATATCTGATAGCTCAGATGCTGTTTTGAATATGTAGTTATGTCCCAGTTCTAAAATGTAACATAAATGAGAAACATTTTTGTAAAAAAAGGGGGAAGGCATGCCCTGCCCCCAAATTCAATGCCCAAGCCAAACCCCTTAACCAAGAAATCCAAAATAAGGGGAGTGCATTCCTACCATGACATCAACCCCCCATGAAGAGATTTCTGAGAAACATGACCTCTAAGAGGGTAAAATAGGGGCAAAATGTGTTCCCCCAATTATTTTCTATGTGCTTTGCAGGCTGCTGCCTCCTTGCCCGCCCCCTCCCCCGATTGGTTAATTGCGTAGTTCAGAGTTCTGAGGTAAAACCTGCCTGCTTGCACCCACCTCCCTCTGATTGCTCAGCTGTGGATCTCAATGTTCTGAGGTAAAAACACAGTTAGAAGAGACTGCAGACAGTTGAGGACAGTTACAGAAATCAGCTGTTGTTTACCAAAAAAAAAAAAAAAGAAAAGAAATCAGCTGTATTCAAGGATTCAAGACTTCTGAATAGACATTTTTCAAAAAAAGCCAGCATGGCAATTTATTTTATGAATGTTTATGGGGAGATAGAAAAGGACCTTTCTAGGAGCCGTTTTGATGCATGCCTCCCTCATGAACCTGAAGAAATGTCCACCACATCACCTCTCCCTCACACCAACTCCCCCTCACACCTCTCACCTCTTACTGTCCCCAAGAAAGCTCTTGGCAAACATCGAGCCAAAACACCAATGCTACAAGGAGGGGGCAACTTTGGAATGCAGCAAAGACATTTGCACATAGTACTCCTGCAGTGCACTGAGTTGCACCTCGCATGGTGTATTTTTAGATACGTTTTCATGTAGTCTATATAATACATATTAGTTGTTTACAAACCTCACATCATTACGAACATCAGTTCACTGAAATAATTTCCAATGTAGTGAGGACATTACATCACTGAATTGACTGATTTATCATTGCCTCTCTGCCCAATAATGACATTTTTCTCCTTTCAGTAACTTCTCCTGGTCAAACTGTTACTGTGGTTACACAAACTGCAGTAACCAAGGAAACCACCATCTCCAAACAAGAAATGCCATCTTCTTTGCTTCTAGAGGTGCCAGCACTGGCTGAATTCAATAAGGCCTGGGCAGATCTCACGGACTGGCTTTCTCTACTGGATCGAGTGATAACATCCCAAATAGTGACTGTGGGTGATCTTGATGAAATCAATGACATGATTATCAAACAAAAGGTATGTAAATATTGATTCTTCTGCCTGGCAGAAATAATTGCTACGAAAGCAACAATTTTTAGAGCAAACATGATAGAATTATATTAAGATCTGTAGCACACATGTTCCTCATCAAATGTATTTAAAACAGGTATGTCATGTGAGTTATTTTATGTATGTAACTTGTATTCCATTTCACATTTTTAAACAAATATAGCAATAATATTGGTAGATTTTTTTTAGGTAAATGAAAGAAAATGGCATCATTGTATATATTGCCTTTGCAGGAACCAATTACTATGATAGTTTCATGTAATTTGACATTTTTAAAAAGGCAGTGGTAAGCTGAGAGATACATGATGTAGGCAGAATTATCTCCACAGCTCCTTACCTTTTAATGCTGGTGTATTTCTCTTAAGAACTTTCTGAGAGGCTTGTATCCTACTGTCATCCTACTATGAAGAGTTTCTCAATCCCCTTTTTAAAAGAGCAGCTTGTTAATGCAAGTGTTTTGTCAGCAAACTGTTTAAGTGTTACTTATCTTTGAAACCCCACAAAATATGGAAATATATAAGCATGGACAAAAACAAAACTTTAACTTCAGCAGCTCTTGAGCAATAAAAGCAATTTGTTTATTATATAGCCTGAAAGTAATTACCTGCCTCACAGATTTATCAGTGTTCAATATAAAAGTTCTAGCTTGCATAGCAAAACTTTAAGTACTACACTTCCATTCCACTGAGCGTTTGTGGACTAAACTGAGCTCCTCTTTTTCTAAACAACATTGTTAATTCTCTTTCTAAAACTTAATTTAAAAATGTATTAATTGTTTTCCAGGTTTAATTTTATGCCTAATAAACAGAGAGTAGGTGGATACAACAAATTAATTTTAATTTAGAGGAAAAACTTATGATCATTTTAGCTTGTTCCCTAACTGAGAATCACAAGTAATAGATACCCAAGTAGTGGTTAGTGTGCTTTCAGTTGTATTATTTCTGCTAAATGAAACAACTGCATATGTTAAAAATAACTTAAATGTGAGAAAAAATAAAATTCTACAAGTGTAACAAGCTACCATTTTATCTGGCACAAGTTCATTTAATCCTTGTGGCAAAAGATCATACCAAACCTGCTATATTTGAGATAGATCTATATATCTAATAGCCAAGTTACCCCCGGAGTGCGGATAGCTAAATCAGCGCTCCGGGGGCACTTGGAGGGGAGGGGGAGGTTTGTGCACACGTGGGCCAGTCCCCACGTGTGCACAAAAATGCTAAAAGTAGAAAAAAATCGGGGGGATGTTTAAATCCCCCCGAAAGTGCAAGAGCGTCCCGTGCGCATGCGCACGGAACGCTCTGTAGCTGACCTCGCCGCGGAGCCGGGCGGGCGGGGGGAGGACCGGCCTCGCTGCCGCTGCCACTGCTGCCGAGCCTGGCAAAGGGGGGGAGGACCGGCCTCTCCGCCGCCACCACCGTCTCAGAGCCAGGCAGGGGGGAGGACCGGCCTCGCCGCCGCCGCTGCCTCGGGGAACGTGAACCTCTCAATGACAGTGCCAGGAGGAAACATCAGGGAAAGGCCTTGGGCTTTATGCCTTTTGTTGGCCCTCTATAGTAACTGGTTGGCTGTTGTATGAGACAGGGTAATGGACTAGATGGATCACTGGTCTGATTTAGCCGGGCTCTTTTCTTATGTTCATCTGGCACAGAATCATTACTAATGATATCAAGTTTTTGAAGGGCATTTTCTCTCACAGTCGGCATACTAGGTAGTAACAAGTTGGTCCTCTGCAACATCTTTTTGCCATTCTTGGAGTACAGGTGTTATGTTTGCTATCAAACCTGTTAACTTGCTGTGATTTAGAGGTCCATGACTTCATATTCCAATATCATAATATTTTTCACTTTGTTCTTTAGAATCACACAGGTACCCCCAGAGACTTTTGTATCCTGGAAGATTATGTAGGACTACAACAATGAGATTTATTTTGTGCTCTGTGAAACATGTTTCAGTATTTGGAGGGAATTTATGACATTCAGGAGAAAGCTGGTGTTACAGTTTTAATTTGGTGCCAGGCTAGTAAGATGTCTTATCATATTTGCAGTTCTTGCATTATTTCAAGGGCCCATTCCATTGCCAGATTTGATTGATGATAACAGCACCATACTGTCATCAATCCATTTCCAGAGTGAAGCCCTTTGACCCATATTGCAGCTTCACCAGTCATATTTCAAAGGAGACACCCTACCATAGCATTCAGCATATTTCTTCTTTTAAGGCCAATAATTCCAAATAAGGCACAGAGAATCACAGCCACGTTACCTTTCATGATACACAATCAATTGATTACCTTTATTTTTTCTGTCTACATCAACTTGATCTTTTGTCGTCTTGAAGAGACAGAGAAATAGATGTTCCTAGGTGCTGAGCATCTTCCTTAATTTCTAGTTCATCAGTTATCTGTATAATCTCATTGTACACAAGTGAATCTCTGTAATGTAGAGTTGAGCCACAGGGCCGAAAATTATCATGCCAAACATCCTAGTTGTTGATACTAGGGTTGGGCATGAACCAGGAAAATGTGGTTCAGTACAGTTTGTAGTTCATGGTATGCCTGGTTCATGAACTGTGAACTGTCACAAACTTTTAAGAGCCAAACAAACTAGGGTAAGTACTAAGGTAAGCTCCCTAGTACTTGTGGATAAGCATAATGGTCAGTTGCACATATGCTTAGACCCCAAAGACCTCAATAAAGCAATCAAAATGGAGCACTTTAAATTGCCGACTAGGGAGGAGATAATGACCCAGTTTGCAAATTTACACTTTTTTTTTTTAGCAAGCTGAATGCATTTGCAGGATTTTGGCAGTTAAAATTAATTGAAGAGGGTTCAAACTCTGCACATTTAACACTCCACTATAGATTTCTCCATCTCTCCTTCAGTATTGCTTCTGCCCCAGAGGCTTATCATAAGAAAATACATAAGATTTATGACCACATCAGTGAGGTGGACCCTTCTATGGATGAAATCATTGTCTGGGGTTCAACTAAAATGGAGTATGATCAATGACTTCAGGAGGTTCTGAATGATACCACAGCAGCAAACCTAAAGCTAAGCAGAGAGAAGTGTGTTTTTGGGGTCACAGAACTTATATTTTGTAGGCGATGGCTATTTCTGCTGCAGGAGTGAAACCAGATAAAAAGGAAGTGCTAGCTATAGACATGATGCCACATCCACAGTCCAAGAGAAATGTTGAATGGTTCTTGAGGATGGTGAAATACCTGGAAAAATTCATCCCTCTACAATAGCAGCATCTCTTCGGGGACTTTTGGAACAGAAAAATGAGCAGTGCTGGGATGCAGTGTAAGAGGAATCCTGGACAGTTTTAAAGAACCCCGATTCAACAACCAGTGTTAAATTTGTACAACCCACATAAGCCTGTGAAAATTTTAGAAGATGCATCCCATACCAGCTTGGGTGTGGTCTTCTTACAAAAACATGAGTGCTCATAACCTGCGGCATATGCATCCAAGTTTCTCACTGATGCAAAAACTAGGTAACGTGCAAATTGAGAAGGAGCTCATTAGTATTCTATTTGCTTGTGAAAGTTGCAGATAGCCACACTGTGGAAACAGAGCATAAGCCTCTCATAGCTTTATTAAGCAAACCTCTGAATAACTGTACATTGCAGATCCAATGAAAGATGATCAAACTACAGAAATATGACTTGGCCATGACTTATACACCAGGTAAACTTTTGTTTGCTGTTTATATGCTTTCATGGGCCAATCCTTCTGTAGGAGTCAAGGAAAATCTACAGAGCACAAACTAAAAGCATATGTGAACATGATTTATTACTTCCCTTCCAGTGTCTACCAAAGCATTGCACCATGTAGAAGATGCAACTGCTAAAGATTCATCTTTACAGACTCTCATTCAAGCTATGTCTGGTCAGTAGCCTGATACGCTAGATACCTGTGACCTGCCTATCCATGATTATTGGAACTGCAGACATGAACTCACAGTAGTTGATGGAATGATCTTTAAAGGGAGCAAAGTAGTGATACCTGCTAGCCTCCCCAGAGAAATGCTATAGAAATCTATGAAGAACATTTAGGCATTGAAAAGTGTCAACAACAAGTTCAGTAGGTGTTATATTGGCCCAGGATTAATCAGGATAGCCAATATGGTAGAAGGTTGTTCAATCTGTCTCAAGTACAAGCCATGGCAACGAACACAGTCACTGCATCCACATCCAGTTCCCAGTTGGGCATGCCAAAAAGTGGGTACTTATCTGTTCATCTGGCAATCCAAGGCTTATTTAATAGTCACCAACTATTATTCACTTTACCTGGAAGTGTGCTCGCTGTCAAGTATCACCAGTAAATTGGCGATTTCATGGCTGAAGGGAATATTTGCATGGCATGGCATTCCCAAAGAACTTTTTAGTGATAATGTCCTGCATTTTTCCTGCACATAATTTAGGTGAATTGGGGCAGCGTGGCACCCTAAATAGTTTGCATTAGAAATTCTTCAACATACACATGAAATCAAAGAGGGACACTTATGGACCAACCATATCTCAGATCTTACGTGATCCAAACTGCTAATGATAACTTATTGTGTCATAATTGCTGTGAGATGAGACCAGTCTCCTGGAGTTCTTCAGAAATGTCAGAGGTTAGTAGGGTCCACCCACACTCCAGTAGATCCACCCACACTCCAGAGGCATCAGAAGGCAGTAATTATGGTGGCAGTTGACTGACAGATGCTACAGATGAACATCAGATGCATGACCATCAACAGAAAGTTCCATTAGCTTGCTGCGCCACAGCCCCACCTCGATGCTTTTTAGGGGATAATTGGGACCTCCCGATATCCCACCGACACTTCTGGAGGAAGAGCCGGTTGTAGAGGACTTGATCTGAGCCCCCCCCCCCCAAGAGCTGTGACAAGTGGGTTGAGGCTTGGGATCATCCGAAAGCCGAAGCATTGAGTTGCGCAGACATGATTAGTCATGCCGGC